GCACTGGGATGTAACAAAAGCGTCGTTTTAAGATGAATTCCGGGTCATGCGGCCTACGCAGGCCTATGCACGCAGATCTACAATACGTAGTCAATGAACTTGCCGACAAGCTCGTACGGGAGGGCTCAAAGAGTACACGATTTTGACCTGAACTATTTCACTAAATCTTTATAAATGAAACTCGCAACACCAAACGAAATACATAAAATAATATTAAATTTAAAACCTATGATCGGTACGAGTTACGATGATATTTCAACCGAGGTATATAAAATTATGTACCTCTATAATCAAACCTACTTTTAAGAAAAACGATAGTAATGATATGAGCTGTTATAAACTGATAGCATTAGTATCTATTCCATCTAAAGTAATACATCAAAAATTAAATAATAATATTGAAACAAATTATTTATTTTCGATGGAGCAAGTAGGTTTCAGAAAGAACAAAATGACAAATATGACGGTTTACTCATTTTACAGAGTGTTATGGTTAAAATCATACCTGCGTCCTTTATATGAACCTAACCATAATATATTACTGTATAAGTTATTTACCTACGGAGTGAGTGGAAATACGTATGATCATAGATTAATGATAAGTCATCGCGCGCTCTGACTACATACCGCGCTCCCTGCAAGTAACAGTTCCGTGAGTGCGGCAACTTAATATTGTAGTGTGTATAAAACAATTTGCATGATGCTAGAGTGCGTGAAAAATTGTATATGCCAGCAGCTTAACTATTACCCGATTAACGGGAAAATTTATTTTATGCTATGGCTTAGTAGTTAAGTTCATAGATATGAATGTATTCCAGAAATACTTTAAAATGAATAGTTTATTAATAACGAATGTATCAATATATTTGTGTATATTATGTATAGGTTTTTCTTCTGAATAAATGACATATAAATGATAAGGCCTCCTTTTTATCAGTTTAATTTTTTATTTACACGTCTAACTAATATTCACAAATTATTTAAAAAAATAGTTACATATATATATCATTATATTTTCTTTAGATAATCCTAATGACGCCTTTGATTATTTCTTTGACATTTATAAATTATATTATGATTTATGCTTTCCGACAATAAAGATAAGAATGTCTTTAAAAACAAAACCGAAATGGATTACAAAAGGAATAAAGTTGTGTAGCCGCAATAAAAGGAATCAGTTATGGAAATTTCGCCTTAATCCTAATAAAGACTCAAAAGATAAATTTAAACGGTACACTAAAAAATTAAAGAAAATTATCGAACTCACAAAACGATCACAGAATAACTATTACATAGCAAATGCAAAAAATAAATGTTTAGCTACGCGGAAGGTTATTAAGAATAACAGAACAAATGCCCTTATAAAACAAATCGACATAATTATATATAATAATCGAATAATAACAAACCCGAAAGAAATAGCTCAAACTTTTAACGATTACTTTATAAATATGGAGCATAAAAACAGGTTAATGAAGAGAACGCATGTAACTATTGTTTACAATTTAATAAGTCTTCGTTAATGTTTATGGCCCCTGTCCCTCCTGTTGAAATATATGAAACTATAAAATCACTTAAAAATACCCAAAGCACAGGGTATGACGGAGTAACTACTAAAGTAGTCAAAGAGACAGCATTATTGATTGCGGGTATTTTATGTCATATAATAAACCTATGTATGGAACAAGGCATATTCCCTAAGTCTCTAACACTGTCAATAGTAAATCAATTATTTAAAAAAAACCGACAGATATGATGTTGGATGTTATCGCCCTGTTGCTTTGATTACTATATTTGCGAAAGTTTTTGAAAATGTCTTATATAACCGTTTAAATAAATATCTTGAAGAGAATAAGATACTCGTAAATGAGCAAAAAGGATTTCGTAAAAATAAATCTGTAAACACGGCAATTTATGACGTGCTCAACAAAATTATGACTTGCATAGACAAAAAATACCTGTAGCCGCGCTATACATGGACATGACTAAGGCTTTTGACTTTGTGGATCACAAAATATTAATAAGAAAATTACACCAATATGGATTGCGAGGGACAATTTTAGATCTTTTTGATTCATATATTACAGACAGAACGCAAATTACTGAAATAAGGAGAATATGTCCTATAAAGTTGACAGAGAAGGTTTATCGATCGACATCCCGAGCTGTGTATTATGGCGTTCCACAAGGAAGCGTTTTGGGGCCACTCCTATACATTTTGTACATTAATGACCTTCCATCGGTGATACAACAATCTATGGTCCTATTTGCGGATGACTGTACGTACGGTCGTTTATGAAGGAAATAATACCCAAAGCTATGAAATTGAGATTAACAGTTTCATTGGTCTTATAATTGACTGGCTCGTAAAAAATAACTTAAATATAAAATTAGAGAAAACTAAAATTATGAAATTAAATTGGCAAAAAGATAGTTTATCAAGTATTTATATTCATTATAAAGGTTCACCAATCTATGAAACGATAGAAACTAAATTTTTAGGAATTATCATTGATGACCAACTGAACTGGAAGGCACAGGTCGATAGTGTTTGCAGTAAATTATATAAATTTTCATACGCCTTGTATAAGTTAAATAAAAGAGCAAATACGCAAACACTTCGTATAGCATATTTTGGATACGTTGAATCAACACTTAGGTACGGTGTTATGTTTTGGGGAAACTCAGTGGGTCGGGAAAAGGTATTTAAAGCTCAAAAAAAGTGCATTCGAGCAATCAAAAATCTACACTGGACAGACAGCTGTAAACCACATTTTAAAGAGCTGCAAATTCTAACTTTTCTGTGATAGTTGCAATTAAAGACTTTTCTTTGTTAATTACTTTAATCAATATAACCAAGACAACAAGTTAAAACAGTTATTAATTATAATATTTTCTTCATGTCCATTAAAACATCCTATCGTTACTTTTTCATTTTTTAAACATCATGGATCAAAGTCAGAATAAAAAGTAATATATATATATATATATATATATATATATATATATATATATATATATATATATATATATATATTGTATAACCATAGGCAATAGCTGCCAGTATTTTTCTCTGACTAATAACCTACTTGAATCTACAACATCCTCCCCACACAGAAAAATATGATAGTAGAGTCGATATAATATAATTCAAAATACTTAAACATAACATGTAATCGAATTAAGTTAATTTTAAGTGTATTCACACATTCATTACAAATATAGATGAATTCAACCACTTCAATTTTTAATGTTAATTAGAGAGCATTATTTTAAATAAACATTCCTAACTAATTGACTAAATGCATTTCGTCAACTTAATCTAAGAATCTTCTTGGAACATTAATTACTCTACCATGTCTAGTACTAATAGAAGATGTTCGAGGTAAATCAGATGATATTATGTCCGAATTCAAAGTCGCCTGGGAACTATAATCCTTAATGTTAGGGTTAGTCTCTGTCTTATTTCTATTAGTAGATGGACTGGCCCTGTGCCATTCGTTTGTAACTGTTGTTAATTCCAGTGGGTAAAGACTTTGTACAGCTCTAACCAATTCACCGGTAGCTGTTTGTACTTTTGCAACTCTACAATTACCATCAGCACCTATAATTAACTCCTTTATAATACCTAATGGCCAATATAGCCGACTAGTGTCAGTTTCAATAAGAACAATATCGTTTAATTTCGGCAAATTTTGTTTACATCTATCTTTACTACAAATTAAAGCAATATATTCGTTTCTAAAACGTTGTCGAAAATCTGCACGTAATTTGTTTAGATATTGTAAACGAATATTTATGTTTTTTGCATCAATCAGATCTAAATCAGGCATCTCACTATTATCTAAGGGATGTAGAAACATCATTGGAGTAAGTGGTTTAAGAGAGTCATCAGCTGTTGCTACGTATGTCAATGGTCGGCTGTTAATGATTGCTTCGCAGTCACAAATTATTGTTGATAATTCAATCAAAGTTAAGGATTGTTTTCCCAAGATTCTTCTTAACATTTCCTTTACTACCTTTATAAGGCGCTCCCACCATCCTCCCCACCAGGGCGCACGTGGAGGTACAAAACGCCACTTGATAGCTGGTGGAACTATGCTAGTTGCTGCTTCGACTTTTGCCCAATCAACCTCTTTTAATAAATTGGCTGAACCTTGAAAATTCGTACCACAATCAGTATATATAATGTTTATGCGGCCCCTTCGAGCTATGAAACGACGTAAGGCCATCAAGAAACTATTTGTGGATAAAGATTCCACAAGCTCTAGGTGAACTGCTCTATATGTAGCACAAGTAAATAATACTATCCAACATTTGTTTTGGTCACGGAGATGTAGAGGTCCCGCTAAATCTATACCAGTTATCTGGAATGCTGCATTTGCCTCAACTCTGTTTGATGGCAATGGTGCTTCAGGAACCTCGTAATGTTTTGTCTTGTATCTCTTACATATAACACATTTAGAAACAACGCTTTTAACAAGACGTCTTAGGTTTAAAATCCATAAATTGTTTCTGAGGTTGGATAGTAAGAGCTGGGTTCCTCCATGATTTAACTTTTCATGTCTCTGTCGCACTAACCGCTGTACGATTTCATTTTTTCCTGGTAGAAGTATTGGCCTTACAAAATTCTTGTCTTCTTTACTCAAATCTAAACGTGTTTTTACTCTTATCACCCCATCGGCATCTATTTCTGTATTTATATTATGTAACGAAAACCCTTCTGTAAAATTCTCTTTCTGTAATAATTTAATTAGTGTCTTTTCTGCATTGATATATTCATCATTTGTTATGTCTGACTCCTTTATGTCAAATTTTATTTTTATTTTACAATTCATACGTAATATCCATGCCACAAGTCTAACTATGCGGTTATATTTTGAAAAATATGTCAATTTTTGACTGAATGGTTCTATTGTGACATTTGTATTAATCTTGGCGTTTTTGGTTACTTCTGCTTCTACAATCTCTTCATTGACATTTATAATGTTTGATTTTGGCTAATCCTTCTCATTAAGCTTCAACCATGCTGGGCCTTCCCACCATCTACTTTCCATAAGCTTCTTTGCGTCACAACCTCGTGATGGAAGATCTGATGGATTGTACTCACCAGGTAGATGGTACCAATCGTCACGATTGGTTGTTGAGCATATTTCTATCACTCTATTGGAAACAAATGGTTTCCAATGTGCTTGTCTTTTTAGCCATGATAGCACCACAGCAGAGTCTGTCCAAAAATAAACCTTGTATTCCTTACATTTTGTTAGCAATCTTGACTCTAAAACCTCTTTGTATAGTCGAGTTGCAATGAGCGCCCCCATAAGTTCTAGTCTTGGTAAAGACATTTTTCTTTTAGCTGGGGTTACCCGATTTTTTGCTAAAACTAATTGGACTTTTACCTGTTCGTTTAATTTTGTTCTTAAAAACAAACATGCAGCAAAAGATGTTAGGCTGGCATCACAAAATATATGAAGACTTGTCTGACATTTTTCTAAAGGTGCGATTGAGATATGTCTAGGGAACAGACATTGATTGATGAAATGTGCTTTACTTAACCAGATTTTGAACTCTTGGGCTAACTCTTCGGGTATTTCATGATCCCAATCTATGTTATGTTCCCAAATTTTCTGCATAATAAGTTTGGGTATTAAAGTTGCTGGGCAAACAAGTCCCAGTGGATCGAATATATGTTGTGCCACAGCAATCACATACCTTTTCGTTATTTTCTCCGATCTTGCTTCACTTATGTTGACATTACATCTTAAATTGTCTAGAATTGTATTCCATGTCATCCCAAGCACAGGAACTTCAACAATGCTATCTATTCTGTGAGGTGCTGTTACCCATCCACGCAGATCAAACATACCTTTTGCCATTATTTCCTTAGATTCCGATATAAATATATTCATTTCATCTACATTATCAAAACTTGCAACACAATTGTCTACATAAAAACATTTTTTCAATTTGTTAACAGTTTTCCTGTACTTTTCTGAATACTTACTCAAATGATACATTATTGTGGCACTCAACAAAAATGGACTACACGTAATTCCAAAAACCACTCTTTTGTGTCGATATGCAACTAATTCATTACAAGTTTCTATATTTTCCCACCAGAGAAATTTCAAGTAATCTCGATCTTTTTCTGCAATAGATATCTGTAAAAATGCTTGTTTTATATCAGATATAACTCCATAAGCACCTTTTCTAAATTGTATTAATAATTTTGGTAATAATTCAATCATATTAATACCTTTATCTAAACAACCGTTAAGAGTCCATCCATTGTTGTCCTTTGTAGAAGCATCAAATACTGGACGTACACGTGTTGTCATACTAGATAATTTAATAACACTATGATGTGGCAAATAGTGGCCTGTATTTGTATCATTTATAACCCTCTCAATGATATCATTTTTCTTCCAGTCTTGAAGAACTTGATCATACATTTTTAGGTTACCAGTTGATTTTAACTTTTTTGTGGTTGATTCCAATCGTTTAAATGCAGCTTCATAATTTGTCTTGAGTCCTGCACACCCCTCTTTCCATAACAATGAGACTTCATAACGTCCTTGTGCATTTACTGAAATGTTATCATTGAAAGTTTTCAAAATCTCGACTACAGTATCCTTTTTAGACTTATTTTCATAAGGGTCTCGAATTCCTAATAACTCAATACTCCACAAATCAGAAAGATTTGTTTTTGAAAAGCATGTAGTGCTTGATGTATTGACTGTACTTTGAACTTTTATTGGTCCCTGTAATGTCCATCCTAACTTGGTATTAACAGCCATCAGGTTGTTACCTAAACTAACCGTTTCATTATGTATGATGGATCCTAAGTAATCCGACCCAATCAAGAGACTTATCTCAGTATCTGTATAATCAAAATCACTGATCACAATATTCAAGTCCCGTAACTTCTCTAATATTTTTTCATTATTAATTTTTGGCAGGTGCCCACATAAATCAGACTGCTGTAGTGCATTGATTCTAACAGAAAACCTATTGTCTAAGCTACTTACCAAAACATCAAAGCATTTATATACCTTGGCAGGCTGATCCACACCCCCAAATAATGTGTGACCTATTATTTCTATGCCAGTCTCATGCAATCCTAATTCTTCAACAACTTTGGCTTTTACATACGACCTTTGAGAACCACTGTCTAACAAAACTCTCACCTTCTTGATTTTTCTTTGATAGGTGATATTGACAATGAGTGTTTGTAACAAAGTTGTCATATTAGTTCTGGCACATAACGAAACATTTTCCAATGTTCCACTCTTTTCTTTCTTATGAATTTCCGGATATAAAATCACATAGTGTCTTTTTTCACATGATAAACATCTAAAAAAACTTTTACATTTATTAGCCATGTGACCTTTTTTAAGACATATGTAGCAGCAGCCTTTCTTTTTTATTGCCTCCTTTTTATCCTCTAGGGACATCTTATTAGCTCTACTACATTCAAAAGAACTATGATTGCTTTTGTCACAAAAACAGCAAATAACATTGACTACTTTACCTGACTCCTTTGGTTTTATATTTGATACTAACGATGCTGCTGTTGGTAAACTGCTTATTTGTTGCCTGTGGAGAGTGTGATTAGTACCAATACAATTAAAATCGGACCTCGCTAAATTAATTCGCTCTTCTGTTTCTACTTCGTTTTTAAGAAAATTTAATAAACTTGTCAATTGGTTACCAAGAGATGGATCAGTGTTACATCTATTCCAAGCAATAAGAATTGTTTCGGGAATTGCTGATTCTACAAGGGGATACAAAATTATTTCATATTTCTGTTTAACAATACCTAACGTTTCTAAAGACATCAAATATGTTGAAATTTTGTCATATAATAGTCTAATAGATACTTGTTTTTTATTATTGTTTAAAACTAAACTTAATAATTCCCTAACATAAACCTGTATGAGAAGATCCTCCCGTCCAAATCTTGCCTTGAGTTGTTCAATAGCCTTTGTATAATTTTCAGCAGACGGAGGGAAACTTTCCACCAATACTCGAGCGTTACTATCTTCCTTTAATGATTGAAGGAGGTACTGATACTTATCCTCTCCAGACAATGAGTGATCTTCGTCAATTTTCTTAAATTGGCCCCAATAAGCTAACCAGTTCTTCAGGTTATCATCAAATTTCTTTAGCTCATACTTAGGTAAATTGTAATTCCTGGCTGGCTTTACATCTTCAATCTTATCAAGAGGAATTTTTGACGACATACCTGTCTTTATCTGATTGTTAATTGTGTGCCATCTGTATTTATACGTGTCCGCTGTATCAATTTCAATGCTGAAGGATTCTTCATCATAACTGTCGCTTTCTAACATGAGGTCTTGTATCATTTTATCTAAAGCTTCTAATCGTTCAACCTTACTCTTAAGAAATTCAATGTCGATCAACACTTGCGAGAAATTTTCGACTTTGATATCAGCTTCTAGCTTCGTCGCTGTTCGGTTGAAAATTCTTCTTAGTTGCTCTCTCTCCCGGTTCTCTTTAATCGCCGCTGCAGTCTCCATTTTTATTTAATATATGTACTCAAATCTTCCAAACTACTTATTTTATTATAATCTTAATCAGACTTCCTTATTTGAGCACAAACTACAGCGGACATTCCGGACTTTTAATAAGTTAAATTCTTTGCCTCACGGTCGCCATATGTGATAGTTGCAATTAAAGACTTTTCTTTGTTAATTACTTTAATCAATATAACCAAGACAACAAGTTAAAACAGTTATTAATTATAATATTTTCTTCATGTCCATTAAAACATCCTATCGTTACTTTTTCATTTTTTAAACATCATGGATCAAAGTCAGAATAAAAAGTAATATATATATATATATATATATATATTGTATAACCATAGGCAATAGCTGCCAGTATTTTTCTCTGACTAATAACCTACTTGAATCTACAACATCTTCCCTGTCTTTTTATCTATGAGACGGCTGTGTTTGTCTATAGAAACTATCATTGTTTTAAAATTTAAATAATAGAAGGTATCCCCTAAGATTAAAAGTTCAACAATCAAAGTCAGGAAAAATGCGGCAAAGTATATTTTGCCTATCCATACCCATCTATATAAAATACCTAATGATATAAAGAAAATAAATAATATACAAACATTCAAAAAATCATTAAAAACATTATTAATTAATAAATCTTACTATTCTATTAATGAATATCTTAATGACATAGAAATTACATAATTATAATATTTGTATTTGATTTGACATACCATGTATTATATATTTGACATATTATATATATTGATAACCCGATGACATCGACATTTTTAATTTGTATTTTTTTTAATATATATAGTTTATTTCGTGACATTAGCTTAAGATGCAGTATTTATTTTTGACTCGTGTATTTAACAATAGTAATAATAATTTGAAAAAATGACATTTTTATTTACTTCAGTTTCTTTTTTTTCTCAATATAGACGTAAAGGCGCCATTACGAAATGTGTTATTTGTCATGGGTATCATCATGCTTTTCACTTTTGAATATTTAATACTACATACACATATGATTATGGTATTTTTATAATGTGCAATCAATTTTAAAAGTATTACTTTTGCTTCTATTGACAATATCGTAATGAATATTTGTACACCACGCTGTGGTAGAATACATGATACCTAATGTAAATTTTACGAACACCTAACTTACTGTATTCACAAATAAATAAATGAATTTGAATTTGAATTTGAAATCAGTGACTGGACTGACCTCAATGCAATTATATAAATTGTAATAATTCGCTAAATAAATCTTTCAACGCTGGGCGACCCCTTCGTTATTACCACCGAGACTCCTGGTAAGACCTAACTCTCACTGCGTCCAAGACACTTTTAGCCGTCAGAACCTGTGAGCAGTCTTGAGAGTCTGCTTGACTGGCAGTGAGCGAACCCCATCACCTAACCCTGACATACTGTCTCTGTTCGTCTGCTACCTTAAGTCTCATAGTATAGACATCCCGCTCTTATCTAATTAATGTGTGTATATTTATATGGTAGGATTAGGGTATTAGGGACTATTAGAGACTGCTAGGTATAGGAAAATTAGTTAGGGTCTGTAGGGTCTAATACTCCTTACTACCATATTCACGTGCAGCCAGGTAGTCGAGCTATTGAAGGGTGATTAAGTTAATATTTAAACGAACAACTACCTGACTGTACACACTAGATGACCTGAAGTTATGAAATCGTGTATGAATGGATTGGATATGATAATTTTATTCATTATGGTTAATTTTATTTATTTAATTAATTTGTTATTTTTTATAACCTTTATTTTAACAGTTAAAATTTATATTAACCATCTTTAAAACACCGCAACGAAAGGAGGCCGTGATAATAGGAAACAATTATTATTAAAAAAAATACAAGCAATGCTATTATCATAACTAATATTTCCTTTACCTACTACTTTAACTACTACTGTTAAGCAGAATATGATTGTGTTATGAGTGTCAAAGGGCGGATTCGAATCCACAACCTTTTGAGTTCACGGTCCGCACACGGCTATTAGGCTACTGTCGCTTACTACACTGAATTCTATCTCATTGTCCCTCAGGCTAAATCCTATAGATGCATATGTTTGTCTCTCTTTAGTGTCGCTTTTTCGTTTCACCGAGTTTCAAATCACAACAATTCTAAAGAAGTTTTCACTTTGAAAATACAAAAATAATGCACATTCTATTACTATGCAAATGTTTGGCAGTGTCGGACTTCGGCAGTGTCCAATTGACCATAATAACTCCAAAATATTTTAAATTATATACTAAAAATATGTAGGAATACCTCTGCTGTTTGGATCAAGGGAAGCAGCGCACAGACAAGAAATATTATCTTCATTTTAATTAATTCACAACAAACTTATTTCTGATACTAAAGCTATATACTGAAGAAACCTATTTATATGTTGTAAATAAGCGATTACTTGCTCGCTTCATTACAACTTACATTTGAAACGAATGTTCGTATTTATCGTATTTTAAGTGTCGACTCACTACTGATCGTTTGGATTGTAACTGATTACCGATTTTAGTTGTGTGATTGTGGGTTCAGATACCAGTCATTGACAGTTTTCAGGAATAAATTAACAGCTTCCCAGAAAATAAATTAGCAGAGATGAATTATTCTTGATCAAATGTTAAATTTCTTTAATATAAATAATTTACTTCATAAAAATCAATTTGGTTTCACAAGGGGTCGCTCGACATCTGATGCTGGTATTGAGCTGATTAAATATATCTTTAATGCATGGGAGAATTCACAAGACGCTTTGGGTATATTTTGTGACCTAACCGAGCCCTTCGATTGTGTTCACCATGAAACATTAATCAGGAAACTTCAACACTACGGTGTAAGAAGTGATGCCCTTAAATTAATTATTTCATATTTAAGTAAGAGAATGCAAAAAGTTGTCATTAACAGTATGAGCTCTTCCGGGTCGATGGTACAAATGGGCGTGCCTCAAGGCATAATTCTCGGCCCCTTTCTGTTTCTTGTATACATTAATGACTTACCTTACATAGTAGGGGATAACAATGACATAGTATTATTTGCAGATGATACTTCTTTAATTTTTAAATTAAGTCGACAATTACTAAAATCTGACGAAGTATATAATGCTATATCTAAAGCAGTAAATTGGTTCAATGCTAATAATTTGCATTTAAATGGCACTAAAACGAAATGTATGAAATTCATAACTCCAAATGTTAAACAATTAAATACTAATGTAATTTTAAATGGGGAGAAACTGAGTCTTGTAGATACCACCATTTTTCTTGGAATCACACTAGACGCGAAGCTTCAATGGAGCCCCCATATATCAAAACTAGCAAGCAGACTTAGTTCTGCAGCATAAAAGTAAAAGAGATTAAAAGTCTAACCAGTGTTGAAACAGCTAGACTAGTTTACTTTAGCTATTTCCATAGCATAATGTCGTATGGTATTTTGCTATGGGGACACGCAGCTGACACTGCGTGTCCCCATAGCAATGACAATTATATTTGTTTTACAGAAGAGGGCCATAAGCGCAATTTATGATTTAAAGTCTATAGAGTCGCTGCGACAAAAATTTAAGAAAATTAATGTATTAACTTTGGCTTCTCAATACATTTATGAAAATGTACATACACAAAAATAAAAGTAGTTTTACAAAAATAAATGATATTCTTTCATTAAATACTAGGAACAGACATAAGCTAGTAGTACCAGTTACGCGACTTCAGCGAATCAGTAATTCATTCTTGGGGTAATATATACGCTTTTACAACAAAATTCCAGAAAATATACAAAATTTGACCTGATCAAAGTTCAAAAACTTTATTAAACTAAGTTTGTATAAAAAGGGTTATTATAATTTTAAAGAATTTATGGATGATAACAATCCCTGGAAATGAGGTGATCGCTACCAAGCTATTTCTAATTTATTGTGTTGTTAATTTGTGTAACATACATGATTGTAGTTGTTATTTAAAAAAAAGTCCCGCTGAGTTTCTTGCTGGTTCTTCCCAGGACAGAAGTTTTCTTTTCGAACCAGTGGTAATCAAACAAAAGAGTGACTTTCAATAAGTATTATTTATAATCTATCTTCGGATCGGCTTGACAATTTCTCAGACGTGCCGGTTTCCTCATGATATTTTCTTTTACCACCAGGCACGTGGTAATTAAAATTGTAATTACCACGTGCATTCGGGATTTTCAAAATAAAAAAATTTATAATTCTGAAAATATTTACTTTGTCGTAAAAACTCATAGGACCTTTTTTATTTGTATTTTATCAAAAAATAAAAAAAAATTGTCCCATTGAAAAATTGTGATCGAGTTACCCCATAGCAACATGCATTTATATTATCAGTAGGATAAGTTGAAGAGAATCGCATAAAAAATGAGGTGGAATAGTTTTTGGTACCAATGTTTCCTCCTAGACTATCATATCCCTTTAAATTTTTGAAGTCCGTACTTACTTTCATTTTAAGTATAATAATTATTGTTACAAATAATTCCAACGTGGGATTTTATACTAGAAATGTGATTACAGCATACCTTAGATATAAACTTCTCAAGAACTTTGAAAAACTTTGTAGACGGTGTTGGTTGGTACTGTAAACTATAATTTCGTATTAAAAATCGCTATAGAAAAATGATCATAAACAAATGCAAGTGTGGTTCTTTTTCCACGGGAATATCCGTTTCGCAAGAGCAGCGACGTGTAATATCGGACTGGCACGAAATTGGCAGGGCCACGTGGACGCTTATGTATACATCCGCAACTTCAATGACATCAGCCGCCCGTAGGCGATCCCTCATCGAATGAGGAGATCCTCTATCAATTTTCCCACTCAAAGAAGATCCACCAGAATACAAGGTGTGTCTTTCTAAACACCCTCAATCTACAGCATCTTTTTGAAAGTACATTACTCGACTGGGCCTCAATCGTAGGGAGGATTTGTCTTAGTCGCCACATAAGGCAAAACCTTTTTACATTGGCACCT